AACACAGCAGCCATTCATCCATTTAACATAGCAGCTATCCATCCATCCATCCAATTATCCATCCATCCATCCATCCATCCATCCATCCATCCATCCATCCATCTGCAGAAAACACACCTCAGACTCTCCATACACTGACTGTTCTTGTCTGCTTCTGCTGTTGTAGGACATCTTCCACTGGCAGATCATGGATGGAAACTTAACTCACAATATACGGAGATACTTACCAATGACAGGTAAACCTCACCGTTACTGCGGTAATACATAATCCTGCTGCAGTCTGTTTTAACCTAACAGACGTTATATTTCAACATCTTTACTATTAATAATTTTTAACATTCAAAAGTATTATTTTGATGAATTTTAGAAGTAGTGATTCTGCATTTTTACTTTATTTTGTAGAAAACTGAATAAAGAAAGTTTATTTTAGTGTGTGTGTGGGTATACACACACACACACACACACACACACACACACACACACACACACACACACACACACACACACACACACACACACACGCGCACACACACACACACACACACACACACACACCCCACAGCAGAGCATTATGGGTAAACACCCTAAACGGGCACTGAGCTCATCAGGACACCTGCAGTTACACACTATGAAGACACTGAGCTCTTCATCTGGACACACACAAACACACACACACACAGCTCAGTGTTACGCAACTAGCGATGACTGACTGAAAAGCTGAAGATGATGATGATGATGATGTTTGTGTGTGTGTGAGAATAAAGCACCTAAACCACAGTGTGTGTGTGTGTGTGTGTGTGTCAGTCACATGACTGATGAAAGCTTGACTGAACTCTACCAGCAGTGAGATGTGAGGATTGCTCTGCTAATAGGAACACACACACACACGCAGGCACGCACGCACGCACGATCATCAGAGCAGCTCCTCTTGCTCTGCTCACTCCTCCTGCAGGAGCTGCGCTGAGGGAAGCTCTCTCTCTCTCTGTGGAAATGTCCTGTAATGTGCTGCTCTTCTCCTCTGTGTTTCTCTGAGCTCCTCTGAAGTCAGTGATTACAGCAACAGCTTTTACAGTCAATGCATCATTTCCATCAGAGAAAACGCCTCGACGCCTCATGCTTTATGACATGTTTTAGAAATGTCTGGATGATGTGTGTGTGTGTGTGTGTGTGTGTGTGTGTGTGTGTGTGAGAGACTGATAACAGCACAGGAATATTGTCTTAAAAGATGAAGTGTTTATTAGAGGACTGAGAAAGATATAGATATATATATATATATATAGACAGAGAGTGTGTGTGTGTGTGTGTGTGTGGTGTGTGTGTTCTCTGCAGCAGTGATGAAGACTCAAAGCTTTGTAAACGTTCACACATATAGATTGACAGACTGACAGCGACACCTGCTGCTCAAACGGTGTAAATGCAGCAGATCTGACACTAGTGAACATGAAGCCGACAGAACTGAAGAGCAGCCTGCAGACGCTCAGCTCACTGAACAGCACACTGACAGTGTTCAGACTCATTCAGTTTGTTCTGTGATGTGCTGAGCTGAGATCAGCTGCTATTGACTCATTACAACATCTACAGTCTGCTAAAACTGATCTGAGATCAGGCAACAGCTTCTGAAGCGGATTTGCCACTAGGGGGCGATCTGAATGATGAAGCCGTGACACAGATCGCCCCCTAGTGGAGTAACATCACACTGTATCATGGAGCTCATACTGGACTCCTGGAGGTCCACAGCTCCACACACAAAACACAGAGGAAGACACAGTAACCATGACAGAGAGCTGGACTACTGCACACGCTGAAGAAGAGCTGAAGAGGGTTTAAACGAGAGGAGAGTGATCATGTCTGTTAGAGGAGTGTGCAGTGAGGGGTTTACAGACGGGAAGCTTCTACAATGATAGTAAATAATAAAGCGAACTCCTCCAGACTCCCCCTGCTGTGCTTCTGTTTAGAGCGTGAGTAGCGAGGGGCCGCTGTACTGTACATAACCTGCCCCCCTGCAGCACTGATGAAGATGATGATGATGATGAAGATGAAGATGATGCTGCTTCAGTGTGTTTTGTGTTTGCTGAGTGTCTGTGTGGTGAAGTGTGTAAGAGCAGAGCCCAGCGCCGCCCCCACAGCGCCCCCTACCGCTCCAGACGCCCAGATCCCCAGCACCGCCCCGGCCAGAGCCCCCGCCAGCAGCAGCTGAGGGACGGACCCCGCGGCTGTACGTGCCCGCTGCCACACTGAGCCCAGCGGGACCGCAGTGACCACACGCTCCTCCTTCACCTCCTGGAGCGTCTCTAGCGGGAGCCCCGGGGCCCTGAGCTGTGCTCCGTGTCTGGGTGTCTCCGGCAGCGGTGTCGGACCCTTCAGAAGCGGCGTCTCCAGCAGCTGTGTTTGCTGCGCTGCGTCTCCGGGGTCTGTGATGTGCCTGCAGTCGTAGAATCCTCCTCCACCCTCCTTCAGCATCTGCTCCACCTTCTCCATCAGCTCCGTCACGCTCCGCCGGGCCCCAGGACCCCTGCTCCGCTGCTGGATGTGGTATCGGTCCCCGCAGCGCTGCACCAGCTCCATCATCTGGGGCCGGCGGGCGCTGATGACCTCCTCCACCTGCTCTACCCGGGCCCCCGCTCCGCCCGGCAGCAGGTCCGAGTGTGTGAACAGCACCAGTGTGTGTCTGCGCACGGCCGCGGCCCCCAACACACTCTCCAGAGCCTCCAGCGCCTGCAGCTCTCCGTCAGCGGGCCGGTCTACAGGGACACACAGCAGCAGCGCGTGAGGGCCCGGGGCCAGCAGAGACACACACGAGCAGATCTGAGCCGTCAGCTCCTCTGGAGAACTCCCGGAGAACAAGCAGTCCGGCGTGTCCACCACTGACACCTGCAGGACAACAGCGGAGTTACACACACAAACAGATATACAGATGTGTGTGTGTGTGTGTGTGTGTGTGTGTGTGTGTGTGTGTGTGTGTGTGCTGACCCGTGTGTTCCCCAGCACAGCTCCAGCCTTCACACATCTCTGAGCTGATCCAGGAGCAGTGCTGAACTCCTCACGGCCCAGGATCAGGTTTCCAGCAGAGCTCTTCCCAGAACCCCTGCGACCCAGCAGAAGCAGACGGAGCTCAGGCGGAGGAGAGGCCTGCAGCAGGCTGGAGGATGGAGAAGATGATGATGATGATGGAGAACCAGCAGATGGAGGACCAGCAGATCTGGGACCAGTAGATGGAGATGATGGTGGAGCAGCAGATCTGGGACCAGCAGATGGAGATGATGGAGGAGCAGCAGATCTGGGACCAGTAGATGGAGATGATGGAGGAGCAGCAGATCTGGGACCAGTAGATGGAGATGATGGTGGAGGACTGTCGGACTCGCTGGACGGTCTGTTGATACTGTGGTGGACTGGAGGAAAAACAGAAGCAGACAGAGCAGCATCAGCAGAAGATCAGTCCAGAGACCCGCTGCTCCTCCTGTGAGTCATCAGTCAGCAGGTTCTAGAGCAGCAGAGCAGGAGAGCTTCTCCACAACACCAGGGTAATCTCCTGCTGCAGTGATGCAGGAGTCTGAGACTGTGTTGAGCAGCAGGATCATGTCTGGAGTTTCTCCTAAGTGTGCATGTGCTGTGGATCTACTGTTATGTGTGTGTGTGTGTGTGTGTGTGGCGTACTGCTGTTGATGAAGCTCCGTTTGCGCGGCTCTGGCGGCTTCAGCGGCTCCTCCCTCATCTGACTCAGAACTGCTCCCTCTGGTGGACACACACACACACACACACACACACACACACACACACACACACACACATTTCATCATTATCACACACACACACACTCAGTGCTTTAAATACACATGACAAGCCGTTAATGTTTGATGTGAGAGCAGCATGGTGGCTCAGTGGTCAGCACTGTGGCCTCACAGTAAGAAGGTCTCTGGTTCGAGTCTCGGCTGGGTCAGTTGGTGTTTCTGTGTGGAGTTTGCATGTTCTCCCCGTGTTGGTGTGGGTTTCCTCCGGGTGCTCTGGTTTCCCCCACAGTAAAAACACATGCGCTATAGGGGAACTGATCAACTACACTGGTGTATGAATGAGTGTGAATGGGTGTTTCCCAGCACTGGGTTGCAGCAGTGTAAAACATATGCTGGAATAGTTGTCGGTTGATCCCGCTGTGGCGACCGCTGATGAATGAGCTGGAGGAGGATGAGCTGAATAATGTCGTCGTGTGTGTCTGAATAATCTGTCCTCATGCTGCACTTCCTCTACGCTGTATTCTTCCTCATGGCAGAAGGAAGACGATGTGAGAAATGTTGGCTGACTGTCAGCTTTGACTGATGAAGGGAATACTCTAGAAGCCTGTGGTCAGAGAACAGCTTCAGTGTGATGAGTTGAGGAGGAATCAGCACAGCGCCGCTTCAGCTCTCCACAGTGCTGTAGTCACCTGCACACTCCTCACCAGTAACACAACACACGGGGGAACTGGAGACCGGTGAAACAGCTCTATTAGTGCTGATGATGGACACTCAATATTCAAGAAATCAAGAAATCATCCACAACTTCAAAATCAATCGCTGTACACTAAATTACAATGTGATCCTACGACTAATTTAAGTGAAGAGAGATGTCTGACTCTGTTCAAGCTCTCCTTCACAGAGGAGATGTGACCAACACAGAATCTGACTATATAAGAGCTGATTATATCATCACAGCGTCATATATATCCTACAGAAATACATTTGGCGAGAGCAGCATTGCTGGTTTGGGCTCTCTGGTTGAGAAAACTTCTGTGTTTGTTGATTCCTCTGTAATACCTCATGTTTATAGTCCTCCCTCTTCTGATGAATGTGATGTAATATTGGTGATGTTAGCTGTGGAATCGCTATACACTAACACTCCCCATGATGGCGCTAAACAAGCAATTGATTTCTTTCTACATGAGTTTTAAAGTGAGAAACCGACTATTGACTGTCTTAAAAAAGGAACTAAAACTCTGTCATGTGCAGTGATGACTCTTACAGATGAAAGGTTCAGCATCGGGGAGCTCTTTGGCTATAATTCTGCAAATTTGTATTTGGGCTTTTTGAACAAGAATATGTTTGTGTTTGTCTAATATTTTAGTGGCGGTGATGTGTGTGTAGATGATGTTTTGATGATCTGGTGTGGATCAATAATGGTCTGCTTGATTTCCAACAGATTTAATCTAGAGGAGTGAACATCTTGAATGTACTATCGAGTGCTGCTCCTCACAAGTGACAAAATTGGAGACAGATCTCTACAGAAAGCTCACCGCTAACAACACAACTCTACATGGTCACAGTTTCCATCCTGCTAATGTAAAGGAAAGCTTGCCAATCAGTCAGTTTGAAAGAATGTGAAGGATCTGTGTGATACGGAAACATGATGAACAGCGCGAGGAATTCGGTCAAAGGGCTCATGATAGAGTTATTCTACAAGATGGAGTAGAGGAGCTGCGGCCCGCTCTGAACATAGGGAATAAAGAAGCCTTAGTTTGGAAAACACCATCAAACACACACAGATCTCTTGTGTTATTCAGTATTCGTAATATTTGTAAATATAGTATGAAGACGTTGGCGTATTCTAAATTCAGACCCTGTTATGAGACACTGTAAAGATCCTCCATGATTAGTTTTAGACAGTCTTGCGAGAGATGTTAGTGAGAGCAGATCCAGCTTCTGAACTGTCTGATAATCCTCTCTCAGTCTCTGAAGGTAATTATAGATGTGACAGCATGTGAATGTGGGCCGCTGTAGGCAGTTCTGCAGCACTGCTGCTCTTCCTTCAGCTCAGACAAAATGACTGTGAGCCTGAAGCGGCCCACCTGTACCATGCCAGAGGGGTCCAGAGGTTTGAGTTCATATATGGTCATTAAAGGCAGAGATTTGGCACTTATGGCAGAATATAATCTGAATGTGAGTCTAATGTGGCCCATGTGATGGAGGACACATGTGGGCCACAGTTAGTGAAATGTGGTATAGTCATTTAAGGGTCATCTGGGTCTAACCCTGAAGTGCTTCACACGTGTAGCTGCAAATGTGGCCCAGTTATCCTAAAGCATATGTGGAGCACAGACTGAAGTCTCCATCATGCAGGAGTGTTTGCTGAACCTCTTAATATAATGTTCTTTTGGGCCGCTGTTTATTCATCACAGCAAACAAGCCAAGAAGAAACAATGAACTGAAGTGAGGCACAACCTGTGAACTGACACAACTCATCAGGAGACTAAAGGTGCCAAAATACTGCAATGCATGCTGGGAGTTCTGTACTTTGCCACACCCAGCAAGTGTAAGGTGTGGGCCAGATCTGGGCCAGAATAAAAGCAGACTGTGGTCCAGAATAGATCAGTTCTGGTTCATCTGGCTGATTTGTGCTGTTGCTATGGCTTAATTGTGGCCCAGATCTGGCCAACAGGAGCGGCCCGCCCATATGCACGATATTCACACACTGAACACTTCAGCTCAGAGCTTAACATGTGTGTGTGTCAGTATTACAATCATTACTGTGATGTGTGTGTGTGTGTGTGTGTCTAACGCGACTGACTGAACACGTCTGCTGTTCTCCATGAGGAAGTGAAAGCACATATCTGAGGTGTGTGTAGGCGTGAGATTAAAGCGAGCGGAGATTACTGATGCTGGAAATATTGAGGAAACACAGAACAGGTTATGTGTGTGTGTGTGTGTGTGTGTTCCTCCAGTACCTCTGCTGAGTTTGTAGCTCCTGTCCAGCGGTGTGTGTGTCTCGTGTGTGTGTTCAGACTGCAGCCCGTTCACCCGCCGGCTCTCCATCATCTCTGCATCAACCCAGTCCTGCAGGTGTGTGTTGGACAGGTGTGTGTTTTGCAGCTGTTTGTTAGACAGGTGCATCTGTGTGTCGGGCAGGTGTGTGTCGGGCAGCTGTGTTTTGGAGAGTTGTGTGTTGGACAGGTTTGTGTCCTGCAAGTGTGTGTTGGTCAGGTGTGTGTTGGAAACGTGTTTGTTAGACAGGTGTGTGTTGGTCAGGTGTGTGCTGGACAGCTGTTTGTCAGACAGGTTTGT